TTATATTTTTTTTTCTTATCACTTTTACTTTAAATATCACCAAAGTCATATTTGAAACGTTTCTTTTTAAACCACAAAGCAATATTTATCCTAACGAAAATAGATTTACGAGAAATTGGAACAACGATTAATGGTACTACGATTTTGTATCGGATGTTTTATCTAAAATACGAAAAACAATTTCAACATTATCTGGAATTCGTGTTTTAAATCATTTACTTTTTTTTTCCCCTTCTTCTTCTTCCATTTATTTTTTATCTTTTCGTAGCAATCGTAAACGATTTTTGATAACTCAAATCGCTAAAAAAAGAAAAGCAAACAAAAAGGAAGGGTTCGGATGTTTGATCGTACTCGTTAAACGATTCTTCATTTTTACGAGGCTATTATTGTGATGCAGTATTTTCTTTTTTCTTTTTTTCTTTTTACGATGACGTAAAAAGTAGATTTGCATTGCACGTTTCGAGGAACGAACGAGCATTCTCGTTCGCTATTGAGTACGAGATGAAAACGACAAGGAAGGTACGTACCAACCTGGTATACGTCAGAGCTTTTCTCGAAGCAATTGCACTATTCGCTGTTCTACGCATTTAATTCTGCTGGCTTGTGTTACTTCAGCTCTTTGCACGACGTTATTCACAGCAGACTTGAAAGTCAAAGCGCTCAGGCGTTAACATATGCCATTTCGAGCGTAAACACAATTCAAGAAATGTTACTAATTGTTATAGTCCCTTTCTCGTATTTCTATTCTTCCCTCTAAAGAAAATCAGACGTTGATATCAAATATATTTGTAAAACGTAAATCTTCAAATTTATTTTAATAGTCATTTAATTTCAAATAAATACAATTTATCGTGTAATTTTGTTGTGCTTTGTTTTCTTTTTTACATAACAATCGAATTATAACATCGTTTTTTTTTTTCTTTCCATTATTTCTATATATAATAGTGATTCAGTATCGATGATTCAACCCGATGAGAATACTCGTTTCTTCGATCAATTTTATTTGCTTCTTGAAAACTTTATTTCCCCAAATAAAATGGCGATATCAAATTTTATAACGTATTAAGCATATCGTATCTAGCAAATAGAATTTCTATTTATTCGAATTGCATTTCGTAAATCCACGATTCTAACTCGTCAATTGTCGATAGTTCGTATATTTTCAAAAAATTGAAATAGTTTATTTTTAATAATTTAAATAGATTCTATTTTACTACGTTGACCATTCGTAGTTCATTTAAGACTTTATTATATATTTAAAAAGAAAACGTATTATATTATAATGAAAATTCGGTTTAATGATAAAATTTTATATGTTTACCAGTGTCTAACGAACCTACAAAAAGATTGTTTTCTGTATTAAATAATATGTGAACATACAAAAAAATTCATCCGAAAGTCGTGACGGTAAAATCACATTTAATTACGCAAAATGTAATTACAAGATATATTATTTAAAATTCAAGGAGTATTTAAAAACCAAAATTAATCTCTTTAAAAAAAAAAAAAAAAAAACAGAGAGTACTGTAAAGTATTCAAATTATTTTAATTAAACTGGTTTAAATATATTTTTTGTGAACAAAGTTAAGTTTTCAAATACTTTCTCTCATAGTTTTATTATTGTAAAATAGAATTTTAATATTGTGTAAAAGGTAAAATAAATATTCATATTAAGTTAAACCTTTTTTTGGTCCAGTCTCTTAGTCCAACATATTTGAATAAATTTTCATATTATATAAAAAGCTAGGGAGATATATCTAGCAATATAATTTAATAATTTCATTTCTTTTGTATTATATTTTTCTTTAAAAAGTAATGGTCACCGTAGTCATTATACTTGTGCATGTATTATAGATAGATATTTTAGAAGCAGTATCTTCGCGAACTTCTAAGTATAATATTTCCTTAAATTTTCTCACCGGTGTGTTTCACGAATAAATCTTACTTTACCGAAGAAAATCACATCCCGGTCTTTACACGAAGGTACGCGTATATCTTCTTAACGACGTTACCATAGCTTCGAACGTATTCGCATGATGTAACTAATACTACTGAAGTATACGTATCATCGTCATCGGTGAACGATACTAAGAGATTCCTCAGATTCGCTTCAACGTTTCATATGTACAACACTATGCATTGTCGTTGGCAACGTTTAATCGCATTGCTTGAGAATTTAATTCATGTGTGTTAGGTACGTACGATATACGCGTACACACATTTATATACGTTCAATTTTAATAAATCCGCTTAATAAAATGAACATTGTACGTGAAGGTATGCGAAGTGTGCTACATGTAAAAAGGTTTATTGGAAGATCGTGATTTTTTATGGATCACGTTGTTAATTGCGTTCACCGAATTTATTACCATCCAAACGTTTATTTTCATTTTGTCTTGATTTTTAAAAACAAAATTGAATTAATGGATGCAAGCGGGAATACTGAGAGAGAATCTCATTTCTCTTTTTTTATAATATATATTAAAATAATATAAAATTCATTGCGATAACGCATGCGTTTTTCTAAATATTTATTATTCTCTTCACTTAAAGCTTTTCTTTTTTGTGTGTGCTTTTTTTAAATGAAATTAATAACTCGTTATATTCGTTCATAAGCAAGTACAAATTTCTAATTACGGATTGAGCGTGTTAGATGACTCGTAGTTATTCCGAACAATACGAAGGTTCACATTGGTGCTGAAAACGTTGATGAAATGAACGACCTCGGTAGTTTCGTACCTTGTTGCGCGTCATTTTCACGAGATTCATTGGCTAATCAAACGGAACGCTTTAGGCTTCAGCTAAACGTTATGATTCTGGGCTGTTTGGAATTTAATGGCTGAGCCTGTTAGTAACGAGCTAACACACAGACAGAGGCTCGCCTATCCTCAGAATTTGGCACTTCCGATAGGATCTTCGTACATGCTGACGCTGATTAATCATTTCGATCGAACGTTCTTGTGATTCAATGTCGATGGATAACGGGTTACCACGAAGAGAGCTCTAACCTCCTTACTGTTAAACGCTATGTCAGAATTTTAATCGGTTCGACAAATTCATCAACGATGGAAACCATTTTTCTATAGGTATAGGTATAGTTTAAGTGTATAATGTACAGAACCACCGATATTGATTATTTCTAATAACCTATTCTTATATTCACACGTGATTTTTTTTCTTTTCTTTTCAAATTATTTAAACGATAAATGTATTTTTATGAAAATTAATCGAATCAATTTAGTTGCTTGTTAATTTAACTTTTTCTATTTTGTTCTTATATTGAATGAACACATTCTACGAGAACATAAAGTAAATTAATTTGCTAAATTATATCGATCTCAAATTTTCGTATGATAAATTTTGGACGAACTAACTATCAATGTCGCATGGTTAAGATCACCGAAATAATCGATGGGATCTTTAATGGCTGTCGACATTACGGTGCCATAACTCGTTGCAGTTGGGAGCGTTCGAAATTCCTGGCACATTGTTATCATTTTGACGCGATATTTGCATCGTCCTAGATATAGGAACATAGTGTTCCCTCATACGGTCTGTGGATGTTCGCGGTCTACGAATCATCCGGGATCGTGCATACGGTAAATCGAATTACACCAAGGGTACAGCAGAATATAAATAGAACTCCTTTGCATGCGATAATTGAACTGCCTTCGACTAAAACGATAGACAGACGAAAAGAAAGAGGAACAGAGAGAAGAAGAAGAGAGGGAGAGAGAGAGAGAAAGAGAAGGATAACACCCCCTCATTCTCCCCGTTATTATTTTCATTCCTCTTCTATTCCAACGCATTCATTCTATTTGTATTTAAATATACACGAAACGTGTTTTGTTTCGTTCGATCAATTAAAAACGTTCAAAAACAAAAAAGAAAAGAACAAAAAAAACAAACGAATTATTTACCTCGATGAAATTACAATTTTCCAATTTTTTCGATGCCTTATATTTATTTTATCCACATATGTATTGTATTTACGTAAAAACATATATCAAGGATGACCGTCGAATTGAATGAACTATTCGATATATATGTATAGTAGGTTTATTTTTAAGTTAAAAGTTTTTAGAATGCATTATTGTTAACGTAAACTTATTTATAATCATCGATAGAATAACGAAATATTTCACCATGCAAACTAGCAAATTTAACTCCGTTGAAAGGGTATATCCGCTTTATTCTATACGCATTCGAGCTCGAGGGTATTTATTCTTAAGACGACTCGGAAAGTGCAACGAACACTAAATAGAGAATCATAGTTCGAGTTGTTGTTATTATTATTATTATCAGTATTATTATTATTAGTATTATTATTATTATTATCCTAAAGCGGCATGCGCGTACGTATCGTACACTGACACAAATAATTAGGTTAAATCTGTAAGCACAGGTATTCCGGAGCACAATGACCACGATGTGGATTTCATGCTTCCTCGGTCTCTTCATGAACGATTCTATTCGAACCAATAGAATAACAATATGGCTATTCGTGCAACGCGTTGGATTATTCGAGGGTGCATTATTACCGAATAAACGTAACATACTGAGCTTTCGTTGTCGAGTTTACATTAAATGGAGAGAACTCAAACAAACAAAAAAATACGAAATATTAAATTGAACGAATATTTTTTCCACATTCATATCATCGAAAAATTAAAATCACTTGGCATTTTTTTTTTTTTTTTAAACGAAATTCAAAACATCCTGCAAATCGATGAAAGACATTTAATCCTTGCGAACAATTATTTTTACAAATAAATATTATCTCCTCCTCCCCTAGCCCCCCCCCCTCGATTGTTATTATATAATTACTTGTATTTAAAATAAGAAAAAAAAAATAAACATTTCCAATTAATTTAAAATGATAATATAATATAATATAAGTAATGTGTTGCGATATGATATAATTAAATTTACATAGTGGTATGCGAGGTATACTGAATAGATAATAATACCTTGAATGGAAACAATGGAATTGAACGTACCTGTGCGTAAATCAGACGCTGATAGAAGTGCGAGGCAGCAAGTTGTCAGCAGCCGAAGGAGCCACATGACACTGCACATGACTGCTCGGCGTGATGCCGTTCACCTTCCTTATCTCTCCCCGCTCCTGCGGTTCACGTACCGCGGCTTTGACGTTTCCGTCATCTGAAACAACCATCGTTCTTGTGTCACCACGTATGCGTTTCTCCAGATGGATTGATCATGCTGATTTGGTCCATTGAAATACGCGCGTATACTTACATACACGCAAACACGTATACGCGTATACGTGTTTTATCATACAAATGAGAACATTTTTGTATATACAAATAATCAAAAATTTGTTCTTATTATTGATCACGCGTTATAATATTTCGATGATATTTTTCTATTTTTTTTTTATTACGAACGAATGTTATTACACTGATCATGCTGATTTGGGCCATTGAAATACGCGCGTATATTTACATACACGCAAACGCGTATACGCGTATACGTGTTTTATCATACAAATGAGAACATTTTTGTATATACAATAAGAAATGATAAATCAAAAATTTGTTCTTATTATTGATCACGCGTTATATTTTGATGATATTTTTCTATTTTTTTTTTTTTATTACGAACGAATGGTTATTACGTTAAGGAATCTTTAAAAAAAAAAAAAATAATATAGAAAAAGACAAAACGGTAGCAGTAAATACTTAGAAAAAGAAGGTGCGAAAAACCACGAGACATGTTTCATACGTTACATATACACACTCGGGGCTTGGTTTATAGCCAGGAATACCATAATGCTCACGGTATTACTCCGCAATGCGGTGCCAGGTATCGCGTAACTTCGCTTATACCGGAAAATTATCACTTTTCTCGCTTGCTCTTAAAGGTACGCGTTAACGGTATAAAAGAGAACAAAGAAACGGCAGTTAGGAGAGAAAAAAATATCTACTAATATATGTATGTTGGTATCGTAAAAATAAAGAAACGGCAGTTAGGAGAGAAAAAAATATCTACTAATATATGTATGTTGGTATCGTAAAAATAAGAGATATTTGTTTTTTGCCTTAAAGTATTATATATATATATATGTAAGCTTCTTATAATATTAAAATTAATTAATTGGAGTACCAGCTTTAAATGGTGCATAAATTAACGTTGAGCACTCTCTCATATCCTGAAATTCTAATAAATATTTTTATTTCTCTTGTGATAAACACACGAAAGAGTAGTCACGTTTCAAAGTAGTAGTTGCCGAGTATGGTCAGACTTAGAGAAAATCGAATATACCTACTGCAATTTGCAAACTTACGGATCCTCGTGGTTTACTGAAAGAAAATTTAAAAGCTTTCCTGAATCGTGCGTACGATAACTAAAAGAAATGGAAACGCAACTCGCATTGCTGTAATATAATTAACTTATTTTCTTCGTTAGATATAGAAAAAGAGAGATAGAGAGAAAGAGAGAGAGAGAGAGAGAGAGAGAGAAAGCATCGTGCTACGCTAATATGAAAGTATCGTCGACTCTCTGCGGGAATTAACTTCTCAAACTTATCCTCAGTTAGCTAGCGAGGATTTTAATTAAACTATAATTAAGCTCTCGTTGCTGAATAGTGAATTAATTGAACAAAACAAAGAATACGAGTCCTTTTACCTTCCGTTATATTCGTCTTATTTATTTTCATTTCAATCCTCGATTATAAATCTAAGAAATCCGTAAGTTGATTATTAAAAATATATTTAATAAAAAAAAAAAAGGAAAAAACTGTAAATTTTCTATTGGAATTATTTAAGACGATAAATAATAACATGAAAAATATTTCAATACAATTTTATATATCATAGTGATATTAAAATAATATTACCTAAACGTAAGGTATATCAAAAGGTTGATTCGATGAATACGTTTCCACGATAGATTACTAAACTTTTTCTTTCTTTGCCTGTCCTTTTTTTCCCCCCTCCCTCCCTCTTATGTACAAGAGAAAACTTTCTCTCAACTCGCGTCTACGTGTCATCTGGGAGATCGAAGGAGCAGAAGAAAGTCCGCATAGAAATCAATTTCAGTCTCTTGAGATACTAAGGGTCATGCTTGAAAAAGATATTAGATTACGATACTCCTTCGTGGTTTGATACATTATGTATCTATACATATGTGCATACATATGTATGTGTATATATATAGAAATATAAGATTTATAGATTGAAAGTCTCTTTGTCTGGAAACGGAAAGCAACGTTCTTTGTCGCTTAAATGTAATATTGTAATGAAGAAAAATAAACATGTAAAATGTGGAAGAACGAATATAGTTCGGACTATTATCAAATTTTACAATTTAAGAGAAAATTCTAATTTCTGTATTTCAGTAAGATAATGTAATAAGAAAATAATAACCTGTTATCGATCGGTGAGAACGAAAAAAAGCAAGATAATTCATATTTTATTCGAAGCTAAAAAAGATGTACAGTAGGGAGTGTAAAAAAAAAATGACGAAACTCGACGGAAATAATTCTTGACGTTGCAATCGAATAAATCAACTGAACGTTTGTTAATGAAGAAAAAAAAGGAAAGTAAAAGTAAGTAAAAAAAGATAGGAAAGGAACACGACCAGAGTAATGTCATATTCGTGATCTCATGATTTAATTAATATTCTGACTCGTCGAGTTGGTTTCGGATAAAACCACTCGCCATTTAATATACATATCCTCGTTGCAATGCACAAACACGGCGTCGTATTATTAATTGAAAAGTGATATTCCAGTTGGTCGAAGAAAACGATAAGAAATTAAAGAAAATAGGAGAGAGAGAGAAAGAGAAAGAGAAGGATTGTATCCCTTTAAAAAATTGATTTCTTTTTACCAATTCTCTATCCTTCGTTTTCGATTCAGCATCCCGGCGTTGTTTGATTTCAACGATTTTCGTAGCCTTGCCAAAACTATTCACACATGTATGCATGTGTTCGTCTAGTTTATCGTTCACTATCGGTTTTCTCATCCTCTTCTTCTTTTTCTTTTTCTTCTTCTTCTTCATGTATTCTTCTTTGTTCATCCTTCGTTCATCTTCGTTCTACTTTGTCTCGTAATAGTACGTCCTCATTTTGCTTACTTCATATTTTTCTTCTTTCTTTCTTTCTTTCTTTCTTTTTCCATAACATTGTTTTTCTTTGTTCTTCACAGTTAACAGTTTCGTGAACACATTCTCTCTGATACCCCGTGTGTTTCTTTTTTACTCAACAATGATGTATCCCGATCCTATGTCCTAAATTTTGCGCACCAGCACCTTAACGCAAAGAGTAGTGTAGATGTATTTCGATGCTCGCACAATCCCACTTTTAGTGAACTATGTCTTTACGAGAAAGAGAACGAATGCGTTCTCTTCTTTCCTTCCTTCCTTCCTTCCTTCCTTCCTTCCTTCCTTCCTTCCTTCCTTCCTTCCTTCCTTCTTTCCTTCCTTCCTTCCTTCCTTCCTTCCTTCCTTCCTTCCTTTCTCGATGTAATCGCGTCTTTGCGAGTTATTACGTTAACAGGAACTCCACTAGCAGTCTCGAAATTCCCATAATTCCAATTTTCATCCTCGTAATTCCTATTCACCCTCGTCACTTTACCATTAAATCGTGTGGTTTACACGCAAACTTCTCAGTTATAGGAATTAATAAAATTAAATTAAACATGCGATGTGTAATTATGTATTTAAAAAGATTCTTACGTTTTAAAATTCATTATTTTCTTTACTAATAATATATTTAATATATCTAATTAAAAATTTAATTAAATCTTTTTATATTATATATATATAAAAGAAATTTGCGATTTTGATACAATGAATTTAATAATAAGCTACCGAATTAATTTCCTAATATTTGATTTAATATTTCTAATAAAAAAAATATGATTCGATTTGTTTTTTTAAATGAAACTTCAAATTAAATTCACGTGTGATTTTGAACCATTGTTTTTTATATAAACTCATTTGATATCAAGTACGAATACAATGTGTTCGGAGGTATTATATTTTTTCTTTAAAACTTTTTTTAATCTCCGAAAAAGTCGAAATATCATGATCGATGTGTTGAAAGTATCGTTCATCAACGCATACAAACATATTTATAAAACGTGTTGGGGCTTGTGGTCATAGTTCTCGGACACCAGTTTGATTTCCCATTTTGACAGTAAATCAATGTCTCGAATATCGACCGACATTACATGCTTTACCGTGGTAGAGATTTTCCCTTTCCTTTTCTCTATTTCTCTTTTACCACTTTTTTTCTTTTTTTTTTTTCTTTACATATCCATGGAATTGCAAGCTGCTGAGGTAAAGTATATACGTTTACGCGAAACGAAACGTTCGACTTCGAAGAGCCGTCGCACAACTCGATTTAATATTCATCGTTCGTTGAGAAAGTACATATTGTCTTACGGTGCCGATGCCACCACCAATTTCCAATTAAATCAAAAATTATCAAACTAGATTAAAATTATGCAGATATTAATGATTACCATTTACTCATCGAACAAAATGATAATTAAAAGTTCGAATCTTAAAGTACATGCAAAAATATTCGATCTCCTTTTTTTTGTCTTTTTTTTTTTTTTTCTTTTTTTTTTCTGTATTTTTACGGTAATAAATGAATGTTAAAATATAAGAATATATTTTTATTACGTTATCAAACAGTTATAAAAAAGTTTCATTATTCATAAGATAATAGAATTTATGGCCGATCGAAAAAGGGTTCGAAAAGTTAACGCAAAAAATTCGAAGTTATTATTCGTTCGTTATTTTTCTATTGTTCAGCAGGTAGAATACAAATCGAAATGAGGCGGAAAATAAAAAAACAAGAAAATGATTTTAATCAGTCGAATCGAAGTTTAATGTCATTGTTCGTATAAAATATATCTGTTGCATGCACGTGATTCGGAAATATGTGGGAAAAAATACGATAAAGAAGAAGCAGCAATGGGTTAGATAAAAATAAAAAACAAGAAAATGACAAGTAGAAAAATAAACTAATAAGATCGAAGTAGTGAGGTTTATACGAGGATAAAAATAGAACCACTGTGAAGAAAATAAAGAGTAAAAGAGGAAAAGAAATAAAAAAAGAAAGAAGAAAGGAAGAGAGAGAGAGAGAGAGAGAGGAAGAGAGAAGACAGAGTGATGGAGTGTAGATACAGA